CCGTTGTCACCCCGGAGGCTCGTGGAAGACCCTGTGGCCCTGCGAGCTGATGCCCACTCAATGATGAGCCTGGCACACGGGCTCAGCAGGCTTTTCAGGGCTGGAGGAGTTGGACTGAGAGCTGAGTTAAGATATCCTTATCTGTCTCACCAGTCGGTCACCTACTCACGGTGATGTTGCAGAAGATGCCAACTACACCATTATCTTTTCAGAGAGAAGCAAGACCATGAGAGAAGTTTGGGAGAAAAGGCAGAGAGAAGGTAGAGGGAGGCAAGACCCACATGCTAGATGGTTTGGAGTGGAGAAAAAAACCTGCTCCATCCAATCTGCCGCTGTTGTGGTATCAATATTCAGTTAAAAAATTCCCCCAAAAAAGGGCAGTTGGTGACAAACTTTATCTTTATGGTTTACCCACCTAGGCAGGTTGCTTGCTTCCCAACCTGTCCCCCATTTCTCACTGTTCTAGAAGGAGGTGACATCAGTAATTCAGGAATTTTTATTGTTAACATTTGCCGGTTTTTATGTACCAGGCTGAGGTGAGATCTGACTCCTTTGAACTGTTAAGATCATGAGTTTCTCTATAATGCCAGCACTCGAAGGGAGTGAAAGCCTGGAAAGGGCCACCAGGCAGCCCATCCTCTGCCATCGTTTGCCAAGACAGCCAGATCAGTCTTTCTCCTCCGAATGCTTTCGAGGTCCCTTTCCTAAAAATAGCATCCACAGACAGTAAACTGTATGGAGACACTGTTGGAAATGAACACGTACAACTGAGAATTGTAAACTTGTATGCTGTACCTGCAAACAGTGTTAAACTGTTTATGGCATCACCATAAACAGTGTTAAACACTAGAAAGAGGCAGCAGCCACCTTCCAAAATGGTTTTCAAGTACATACGATCAAGAGAGTCACAGCCAAAGCAGGTGCACACTTCTGCTCAACCCCTAGGAAATCACCGTGAGGATTATCACCATGTAGATCTTTATAGAAAGATCATAAAACATGAAAAATAAATAGTTGTCTAATCAAGCCTTTATAAATGCCAAGTTACTTATTTGCATGGGGAAGACCAAAAGTATAAATTAAAACCAGCAATAGAGCCATGAAAAAAGCACACTGCCAGTGTACTATTCTTGCTTAGCTGCTGCAGTAAAGGGAAACAAGGCTGCAAAGTACTTTCAGAGCTGTGTATTTCCTTTTGGTTTAAAAACTATAGTTTTCAGAGCATTAAAAAAATGTCCTGCCTGCCGATAGGTTTTTGTGATTTTTAAACGCTGCTTGAAAACACGAGTGAAGATACACCATTGGCCTGACGGTGCCCTCAGGATGAGCAGCTCCACGCGCAGGTGTTTCGGGAAGTCTTTGTAAACCAGCGTTGCTGCCGTTGGGTTAATTGATTTCACAGAGGGCACTCGCTGACGCAGCGTTTCATCCTACTGAAGGATTTCCCGGGAGGTTTCAGGACACAGAAAGACAAGGAAAAGCAAGCACTGCTCCTGAAGCAGAGCCAGCGCACGTGGAGCAATGCTTCAGCCTCTGATGGTGGGATGGGAAAGGGGGCAGCGGAGGAGTGCAGCAGCTCGGCAAATCTCTGCTTGACTGATTTGCATCCACAGACACCTGCTTTTCCTACATAGGATGTGTGGTGAAGGCGTCCGAGTTTATTTTGCACACAGGACCGTCATCTGCTTGGTGCTCAAGTTCACGGGCCTTGTGGATGCATCTCCAGGTCTGGGAACGAACTCGTAGAATCACAGAACTCCCTGGGTGACCATGCCTGCGGGGAAAGGGTCCCCTGGCATGAAAAGGTGTCCCAAAGGAGGCAGCACCCCAGGGGCACCCCTGCCTGCACAGCCTTCCCCCTCTCCTGTGCGAGGGTTGCGGGGTGAATCCTCAAACCCCCTGATTTCATGCGCCGGGGAGGTTTCACTTCACATCTTTTTCAAGCTGTTGCTTTTCCTGCAGAAATTTTATTTTGACACATATCCTTGTGTTTGGTGTCTTTGCTTTGTAACAGCTCCTGCGGTCCGTACCCCCCAGGACCCTGATGCGAAAACTTAACTCAATGCTTGGTTTGAGTGGTCTGCTCCAGATCTCGTCTCTTCAGATGGGACTTGGCAAACAAAACTTCCTCTGTGAAATAAAGGATTCGGGCTCTCGCCATGCAACAGAGACCTCCTGAGAGACTCTTTCATGTGAGCCAAAGAGGCTAGAGAGTGTCAAGAGTTTTAAAGACAAAATACTGCTGTCAGAAAGGTACACAGACTTCATACAGGAGGGACCCTTCACACATTGGCAGCCTCTGAATTCAGCTTTTAAATAAAAGGTTTGTCTTCATACTGGAAGAGTTATGCTTTTTATGAGTAATAAGGTATAAAGCAATTTTTTTTTTTCTAATCTGGATGAAACTCCCATTCAATGTAAAATAAGCTGACTCTTGGTTTATTGAAAAGCCAAACTCATATTTTGCCTTGGAAAAATAACACATCATCCAGCTCACCAGTTTGCAGATGCCTGAGAGACGAGGGTGCTGGTGCTGCTGAGGCTGGGGTTAGCATTTGTGTCACAGGCCAGTCTGAGGGAATATGGTTCGTGTCTTGGGCTATGGCTCTTATTGGAGATGATGGGACAGAAGCTGATGGTCTGTATCACTGTTGGGAATTGGAGGTTGTTAAGTAGTTTTGTCTTATAAGTCTGTACTAAGCACTCGGCTTTTAACAAAGGTTTTTCATTGCTGGTATATGCATATGTAATTAGGTATATAAAGTCACATTTGAATGTTCGAATTTATTCTTGCATATGTTACACCAGTGTTTGAACGTAAGTGATGTCCAGCATGAAGCCTCACGTATTTTTATGCAGCCAGAGATGTGTTCTGCTCCCCTTTGTGGTTCTTGGGGTCCCCCTTTCACACTCCCCCCTTGGCCACTGGCAGGTCCAGCTCCCTCCAGGTGGTCGGCAGGCAGCCCTGCAGGAACAGCCCCCGAGGCCAGCTCCGCTTTGCCTCCTCGGAGGCTGCAGGAGATATCTTCTGTCTGGGGCTACTCAGGCTTTTGGATACAGCCAATAACTGTGGAAGGTGCTTCCTCCCTGGGAAGATACCAGCAGGGTAGAGCTGGGCTCCCAAGAGGTCTTCTCCTGCTCTCTTAAATACACAGGGACTATGCATTCCCACTGATACTTGATCCACTGCAAGCCCTTAAAGACCAGATTTCCCTGAAATATGAAGCACTCCCCAGTGCAAACGTCTCTCAGTTTTTCTAGCAGTATTAGACTCAGGAGGTTTCAGTCTCAATGCTGCTTATGATTAAAGTATGCCACAGGCACCTTTCAGGGAGCTTGGCAAATCCATCCATGCCCCGAGCATCGCTGGCGCTGAAACTCATTTGGGTCATTCTCAAGAAAAACTGATGCAAGAGCCTGACAGGACACGATGGCTTCAGAAGTCCTCAAGGCAGGAGCTGATGACTGCAGTACCCCTGCCCGAGCAGGCAACAGATCCCAGCACACACAGGATCTGCAAAGGTGGAACTGCCAGCTCAGATAAGTGCTTGCAGTGCCCTGAGCGTGTGTGGCACACATGCCCTGTCTCCTTCTCTGCAAAATAATTAGGGATGCAGCATCCTTGTTGTCTTCCATCGACTGAAATCCTCACGTCACTCACTCTTGCCAAGGCAGCACCTCCTTCTGATGTGTTGGCAGGTGAAAGCTGCGGAGTAACGTCTGTAAAGCGGGAAAGCAAATACGTGGGTCTGCTTTTCTTAGGGCCTTGTTTGCTTAATATGGTCCAAGAGTAGGGACATAAATGTTTTTGAAGGTGCATGTTCTCAAAGTGTTCCCAGAAGTACCTTAACTGCAGCTGCCAGCTAAGGGATGTAATGAGAACCACTTCTGCACATTTTGAACCATTTGCAGCGTCTTTCCCATTAAAAAAACAGGCAGAGAGCCAACAGGCAGAGGGAGAAGTTCCTGACGGGAGCAGCAGGTTTGAAGTCACTTCTGAAACTTGTACCACTGGAGAAAACCCCAGGAGAAGAGAGCCGGCAGGACGAGGGGGCAGGGTGCTCTGCCGGGGAGAAGCTGTGCAGGAGTGCTTTTCCTGGTGCTCACTGGGGGGCTGAGGATGCTCCCGGGGTGCCAGGACCCCACAGACCAGCCTGACGCGTATTCAGGCCAAGGCTTCTGGTCGCCTTTGCCTAACGCCGTGGCAGTCCGCGCTGGGTGTCAGCAAAGAACTTATGAAGGTATCACACATGCAATGCCCTGTGCAAAGCACTTGAAAAGGAGGAAAAAACATACAGAACAATGGCAGCTGTCCTTAATTTATACATTTTCTTTAAGGCTGTGATAAACAGCAGCAAAACAGCGAGGAGGAGGAGGCTGCAGTTCTGCAGCAGGTTGGCAGCAGCCCGCTGCCGGGCGCATGTTTCCCTTCTCCCAAGGCAGTCATGATCAGGACCTGGGAATGGGAATCCCCATAAGTTTCAAAGGAGACCACACTTAAAGATTTGAGTGGAAACCTGGGCTTTGGTCCGTGGGGAGCTCTGCCTGGGAGCAGAGAGGGCCAGCTGACGTTCCTGCTGCACCAGTGTGCCGGGCAGGAGAGAGGGAGGCGGTGCGGGCAGCCATGCTGTAGCAACATTGCGCATGAAACCACATCCAATTCATGCTCCTGACAGCCCGCGGCTCCGCTGCCCGGCCATCGCACACATACCCCTGCCATGCCCCAAGCCCCCCAGCATGTCCCACTGCCACAGGCTCCCCTGGTCCACGAGTGCAGCAGTGGGGGCAGTTGTGCATGGACCCGGGCTGAACTTCTCATGGAGACTTTGAAGCTGTGACATGTCACTGGGCCCGTGATGTCATAAGGTGCCTGTTGGAAGGCTGCAAGAGCACCTGCGGCACCACTCACATGCTCACCTCAGGACGAAACTCCAAAGGCAATTTTTTTTCCCCTTCTGCCACGGTCACGCTCATGCCCTGATGGGCTTTGCAGTGTGACAATGTCAATGCGCGATCGCCTTTTGGAAGATGCCAAGTGGAATTTGAGGCAGGTGGAGAGAGAGATGCAGAGGCAGAGGAGGCTGATGGACCTGCGCCTGCAGCAGCTCCATGAGGAGCTGCCTGCGTCCTGGCGATGCAGCCCGTACCCGCTCTCCTGCTGCCTGTGCCAGCCTGACCTCCGCCCCTGGGAGAGGAGGGCCCTCACCACACGGCTGGATGTGGAGCAAGAACTGGGCAGGTAATAAATATTTGCTCACTTTCAACAGACATCAACACCCTTTAAGGCAGGATGAAGGGAGTTTTGGTATCAGTATCAGGAGCAAAGGTGGAAACAGATGAGCGGGACAGGAAACAGTCGTTTTTGGAGAAGTCAGTTAAAAGGAGAACGAGAAGGCATGGTTTGTGCAGCTGAAGGGGAGCCACACAGGCAGCGCCCATGCCAGAGAGGTTTGGATTGTAATGTTGTGACATTAACCACCTCACAAACTGCATCTAAGCTGAAGTTCACAACTAGATCCAAAGCTGTTCAGCTGTGGAAAAAAATCCATCTCCGACATAAATTCAGTTTAAGTCTCTTAAACACGTAACTGTCTTCACCAGTAGCCAAAATGCACCTGTACCCAGTGGGGTGCAGCACTGATGCACCACAGACGTAGGTCCATGTTTTCCCAGCTTGTACAGCAGGAGGAATAAGCGTCAGGATTTCTACACCTCTGGTTTTACCACTGTTCTGATGATTTTAGTTCGTCAATGGAGCTCAAGATTGACTCTAGTATAAAAACCAAAGGTACCTCCACAGCACAGGAGGTGTTGAATGATAAAGCCTTACCATCCGGGTTAAGGCATAACCAAACATTTAGAGACCAGAAGGGCTAACAAGTCCTTCGGTCATCATCAGCAGCGGGAGTCTCTTGCTGCATTTACAGCATTGGTATTTTCTCCCCAAAGTCAAGCTCCTATTTGGCTCCAGGAGATGATGAGGCCTTGATCTTGGCAATTAAAAATGCAATATTTTTGTTACCTGTAGAGCAGCAAGTATCAGCCTACAGTCTGTCATAAGTGTTATCTAGTGGGTGCAATAAAGTTACAGCAAAAAGGAAAAAGCCTGACCTCTGGGTTAGTTTTACACTTCAGCAAAACCAAAAGTTGCAGTGAGGTTACATGCAGCTTACCCAGTGGCTGTGGCTCACGCAGGGCTATCGACCAGCAGATTTTGGATCCAGGTCTCCACGTGCTACAGTAGCTGGTGTCCATGTCCGGATTTTCATTAGTGGGTTGAGTACCAGATCTGCGCAGGTGCAGCATCCCCTTGCAGAACCATCAAAAATCTCAGTGAAGGAATGAAAATTCAGTCTGAATGAAAGCCAGGGGTTCTCCGAACAGCCTCTGGGATGCCGTGACACACTCCCTCTGAGTGCCAGGCTCCCCAGCCCCACCACATTCAGGACAACTCCTTGGTTTTAACACAAGTCCATACAGCTACTATCTGAAACCACACCACAGCAGGATTTCATGCCATCACACTGTGGAATTCAACCATCCCCTTGTCACAAAAAAAACACCCAAAACACACTGAATGAGCAACTCTTCCAGCACATTTATTCTCCTCCAACCCACAATAGAAAAAGACCAAAGAGGCAGCTGGAGAAGCCACCAAGCACAGAAAATACATCTCAAAACCACCATACTAGATTGAATCATTGCGGGCTTTAAGTAGGTTTGCTGAAATGAGTGTACCCTGCTAACGAACCTCTCATTAGGAGTTTCTCACCTTAGTGGTCATGCCCGTTCCATCATTGCTTGCCCCATTTCCTCTTCCATCACACCCATTATCTTTTTAATTTGGTGCCTTGTGCCTAATTTAGCAATTATAACTGAGATGACCCTTCCATTGTCTACTTTATAAATGTTTTGAATAAGAGCCTGTCTTCTGGTTGAGCAGGGTCATTGTTTGACAGTATTAGAAATCATTTTAATGGCTCAGTGAGCCTCCAGCCCAGCTCTGCAGGACCATTTTGGATTTTTTTGCCAGATGCGTCTCTTATCCACTTGATTGCTTTAAAATCAATCCTCTTGATTGCTTTAAACAAGACTCCTAACTGGAAAATGTGATCTATTGTAACTATCTATTGAAAATGTAGGACAATGTGTAAGATGAACACGCATGCCTTAGTGGGCATACGTACACGTGAAAGAGAAGTGCTGGCTCCTCTATATTTAGGTGAAGGAACTTTTCAGCTCCTCAATTGCCCCATCCCAAGAAGGCACGCTGAAATACTCCTGACCGCTGCGGAGTGCAGGTGGGACCTCCTTCGGTGTCCTTTCAGTGACAATTTCAATGGTGTAGACACCACCCCACATGCTGTACATCAGCACAAAGATGGATCCAATAGTTGCCTATTCACTTCTCTTGTCCTCAAGGTGGTCCACCCATTCCCCTATGAGTTGGACTGAAAGGCTGTTCTCTTGTTTTTATTCCAGCATGCAAAGAAGACTTAACAGGATGTCGAACTCTTCCCATGACCACCAGCTTTTGAGTTTGATGGATATGGAGGGTTTTGAACCCAAGGAAATCATGGTAACAGTGAAAGATGGGAAGGTGAAGGTGTTAGCAGAGCACAGTGAGAAGCGCACCACTGCAAGAGGGAAGGAGTATACCTACAAAAACTTAACAAAGGAAGTCAGCCTGCCACCGGGAGTGAGCGAGGACGAGGTGACCTGGTCGCTGGGAGCAAATAGCATCATGAAGATCGAAACAACAGACAAGTGCTACCCTTGTCTCCTGAGACGCTGAGCCCCAGCAGGGAGCAGCATCCGGGCGCAGTCATTCCTCTGCCGCATCCCTCCTCCCTGTCAACCTTCGGTCTGTCCCACTAATTGTGCGCCAGCAGCTCCTTAGCCTCTTCTGAAATAAAGGACAGCCCTCCGAGCGGATGTGTGTGAGCCTCGTTTTGAAGGAGTTTGATGGGCAAAAAGGAAGGGATGGCAACAGGAAAATGCCAAGATGGTTTTTGGCATACGACTGCAGTCACTCACTGGGTTCCGAAGGCACGACTGGAGGTGGTGTGGTTCAGGGCAGGTATTGCTGTTGTGTGCAATCTCATGGGTTTTAAAGGCTGAGAGACACCCTTTATGATCAGTCATGTTTCTGTAAGGACACTTCTCTCAATCCCACCACTTCCTTTTGAGCTGTAGGATATTTCTAGGAAGAAAACCTTGATAATAAACTCTTTGAGGGGAGAAGCCTCCTCCCGAAAAAATGGGCTGTGCCATTTTTCCCCTGGGTTTTATTCTTACAGAAGCTGCCTGTTCAGGAAGAGCCGCGGTGGAAGGACAGAGAGCTTTTCCTTAGAAGATGTTGGGACTACAGCATAGAGTCATAGAATGGTTTCAGTTGGAAGGGACTTTAAAAAACATCTAGTTCCAAACCCCCTGCCATAGGCAGGGACATCTTCCACTAGATCAGGTTGCTCAAAGCCTCATCAACCTGGTCTTGAACACTTCCAGGGATGGAGCAGCCACAGCTTCTCTGGGCAACCTGTTCCAGTGCCTCACCACCCTCATCCTAAAAAGTTTCTTGCTTATATCCAATATAAATCTACTCTCTTGCAGTTTAAAACCTCTTCTGTCACTACAGACCTTGGTAAAAAGTCTCTCTCTGTCTTTCTTATGAGCCCCCGTTATATGTTGAAAAGCTGCCTACGCATAGATAGCCTGATTCTGCTGATGTTGGTTGAGGACATTTAAAAATAAGCCATACCTCAACTAGGAGGCTGGGACAGGGACTGAGGATGCTAAAGACCCCTGGAGAAGACCATCCTCTTATGAAGCAACCCACTGAGTAATAAAACTGAAACCCCTTTGGGATACAGTCTTCCCTCTTTGTAGCTATTTCTACAGAAGCTGTCTAAATGTGCAGAAGAGAAACATATTTCAACACCTACCATCTACCCATGACTTCAGACTTGCATAATATATTGAGTCCCTCAGCGATCATAGGGCTGGCTATGATTGCTCTTTTCCTTATTGCTCATCCTTTAACATGTTCTTCACTTTGTTCCTAAATTAGGCTCCTAACACCAGATTACACTCCCAAACAACAAGACTTTATTGACAGATATGACTTCATTCCCACATTTGAAGACTAGAAGACACCATCAGATCATCTAGTCTAACCTCTTATTATATTATCTTATACCACAAATAAATTGCGCACAGTCTAACCTCCAGGAAGGTACTCAGTCTTTATTTGAAGGCTTCAGGAGACAGACTCCAGCACCTCTCTTTGTATTTTGCTCCAATTGGTAATTTCCTTGTAATTAAATGTCATGCCTTGTTACTAACATGAGACTGCCTGGCATCATCCATTCTTTGGGTTTTTTCTCTGCTGGATGACAAAAGCCCTTGGAAGCTGGCTTTGGAGTAACTCGGTAGCAGCTATGAACTGCTATACTGTAAGCAAGTCACTTTTCCATCTCCTCCTCATGCTGCAGGCATGGCGAAGGTTGACGTGTCAGCTCAGGGCATGAGAGAAACATCTAGGGGGAAACACGCTTCAATTATTAGAGGAAGATTTAGGAAAACCTGCCTGGGTTGTATTTTTTCTTACAGAAATGAGCCACAAATAGCCATTTTTTCCCTACTCATTAGGACTTCTAGTGTTTACATTCAAAGAGGACTTGCAGGCTGAGGGGCGCATCTTAGGGAGCATTCTGAAGAGAATTCCTAATTCATTTTCTATCCCATGAAATGCTAGTTCAGGCTGGTAGGAGTATCTTTAAGGCCTTTCTGATAACAGAAGCAAATCACTCAAATAGTCCCTTAGTTTTGTGAATACTTAGATGCTGTAAATACCTTGGGACATAGCCAAAAGCACTCTCAAAATCTATACGCTCCAAATACTGCTTAGATGAGAGTTTGCTAAATTAAAACACCTTTGGAAAACCACCATTAACACAGTAAGACGTGCTCACATCAGCATCTCCCTAAAAGAAATTCAGTTGCCACTAGGTGGCAGATTTATTTTTTTTTTTAATTTATCACTTTATGAAATTTTTTAAAAGCAAACCCCATGAAGGTGCTTGTTACAACGCCATAAGGCTGGCACACACTGCAGTTGGCATTTTTCTTTGCAACACTAATAGCAAGTGAAGAGGAGGACAAGAGCTGGGGCTGTGGTTTGTGATCCCAAGTGTGCAGGAGCCCTCACCACAGGTCACCATCATGTTAGGTTTCTGTGCTGGATTATACTAACCTTTGATGATGCTGCTCTTCCCCCCAGAGTACCACTCCAGGATAAGGCATTTCATTTGCTTCAGCAGCCCAGCCCTATCACAGCTATTAGCCTGAATAGGGATTTCCAGGAGTTACTGTATTCTTCAGCATATTGTTGCACCAAATTATTCTGGGGGCCAATTTTGACCATCCTCACATAGCAAATATCCTCTCTGAATTCCCTGGCATGAGGAAGATGCCTGAGAGGGCGACTTGGCTCTGTGGTTATAAACGTTAGTGCATTCTTGAACTCTAGCCTTATCGGGGCATCTATAAATAGCCAGAGCCCTAGGCATTTGTAACAGGAGGTCGTCTGAGGATGTTAACTCCAGGCATTGCCTCGGTCATGGGTTTCTAGGGGTTTTCCTACAGCCAGGCAGTGCTCTGCGGGCTTAGCTCATGTAGAAATGTTGTTTCTCTCCCAGCTATTGAAAAACCAGGGAGAGCAGTACCTCTGTGGGAAGGCACAAAGCGAGCCCAGCTTGCCTCTCGTACCGATGTGCCGATTTGCCGATGCGCCAGTGTGCCGGTGTGCTGACATTCTGGTGTGCTGGTGTGCTGCTGCTCCTGAGAGCACCGGCATTGTGCCGGTTTTTTCAGCCCCTCTCTTCCCACCTCCGTTCCTCCATCCACTCCATTTGTGCTTAAAGTTAAATTTAACCATTGTCCCTGCTAAGCCATTTGGCACCTCCATCTCCCAGATAAACTTTCCAAGCCTGTTTTCTCTCGTCTCTGCTGGAGACAGCACTGAGGGTTTAGAAGACAGAGCAGTACCCACGGCTCCAAGTATGCCTCTATACCAAAGAGCTGGTGGGGTTGTTGTTACCCTGGCCCCTGCACTTGTCACCTCATTGATAATCCTGCACTGGGTTTAAGTTTGGAGTAAACTGATCCTTCCAGCATGCTCAGTCTGACCATCAAGAAGCTGCGACTCCAGGAGTGTGGGGTGCTGGCCCTTGCTCCCCCTCTTTCACTTTTTTTCCTGCTTCCTTGAATAAAGTGTTATATTTTTCCATCTCTGGCTGTCTTCTAATTCCCTCTGCCATCCCATTTGTCCCCTTCCACTTCAATTGCTCAGGCTGGGCCTTCTTTTGGCATGGGGTTTCCTTCTCCCTCTCTTGAAAGACGGAGCCCTTTTCTAGGGCTGAAATCCCAGTCTAGGTGAAAAAAGCTTGGCTGTCCTGAGGTTATCCCTTTGATCGCTCTATTATATGTAAGTGGTGTGAAATCATACATGTGTGATTGTCTTTCTCGATTTCAGTGTTAATTGCAAGTAATAGAAGGTCTCTTTGCTCTTTGGTCCCTTGTCCTGGCCCCTAGCCTTGCATGTAGTCTTTAAAGGCCTGTAAGTGAAAATAATTCTATAGTTTAAAAAACTACAAGCCACAAATCAAATTACAGGGAAAACCATCTTCCCTTACATCTCACCACAACAGATTTTAACTCACCAGAAAAATAAAAGGTAGCCTCTTTTTATGTTTGGGGTTTTTTTTGACGTAGCTTTGTGCATCTATGACTGCGAGAAAAGCCTGCAGAAGGGAATGGTGCCAGGGCTCTGCCTCACATCACACAACAGGATGTGGCACCTTAAAACATGTCAAAAGAGAAAATAAAATCCCCTCCTGCTGAGGTCTTGGCCCTAAAGCCCAGATGGGTCCTAGATCTGGACCGTGCCAAGAGGGGTTCACAGCAGCTGGAGCACAGGACTGGGTGGTGATGGCACTCACCCCATCCCCTCACATCCCCCACTGCCCTGGGGTTCTCATCTGACGTGTCACCAGCCGCCTCAGGCTCAGATTTGTGAGGTGTATGGTTGTGTACCTGCGGGCACAGAACCAGGACTACCACCCACAGCACCTGGCTGTGGCCTGATAAGCATTTCGAGGAGAGTTTGAGCCAAAAGTTATGTCAACAGGAAAGCAGAGAGACCTGGAGGACTTGTGAGGGTGCTCACAGCCCAGCGACGGGCAGCATCACACCAGGCAAAGTGCTCAAGCCCCATGGGACCCAGTGCCAGAGCCCAGCACTTGCAAGCAGGGTGGGAAGGCTCCGTGCTCCTGCACAGGAACAGGAAAGGAATGGAGAAGAGGAGGGATTGGGACCAAGCAGGTGCACAGAAGACACTCGAGCCCAGGGACAGGTCTCCATCAGAGCATCCCCAAAGCGCCTTCGGCTCAGGCCAGCAGCTACATCCGTGCTGAGCAGCATCTTGAGCCACTTGGCTTCTCCCTCTCTTTTGGCTACCTGCTAGAAACATTTGAGTATAAGCAGAATCTGCACGACGCAGTAGAGGTGACTGGTGTAACATGTGTGAGGTCTGAGAACAAGTTGGGAGTAAGGAACTGTTGTGGTTTGGGCTGATCCAGCAAATAAACTGCACACAGCTGCTCACTCACCCTCCCCATCGCCCCGGGGTGGGGAAGAGAATTAAAGGGGAAAAGAGAAAGAGATCCGTGGGTTGAGATAAGAACAATTTAATACTACTATCACTACTAATATATAAATATATATATGTACAAT